AAGCAGATGGAGAGCAGGAAGGTGGTGCTGCCGGACGAGGTGCGGACTTTCCCCCCCCCCCCTGCTGTTCCCACGGCCCCTTCCCTGGCGCCACCCCCCCCCCGCCCCGTCCGTGTGTCCCAGCAGCCCCTGGGTTCCCCACCCCCTCACAGGGCCCTGTGCTTTCTGCCCCCCAGGTCTGCTACCGCAGCCTCATGCAGCTGTGTGGGCAGTATGGCGAGCCGGTGCTCTCCGTCCGCGTCCTGCTGGAGATGAAACGGGCCGGCATCGTGCCCAACACCGTCACCTACGGCTACTACAACAAGGTATCGGCCTGGGCCGGGGGCTGGGGGGGAGCAGCTCCCTCTGGCGGGGTGAGCCAGGCGGTGTCTGCTGCCGGGGGGGCACGGGGGGAACCCCGTCTCCCCGGTAACCCTGGCCCCGTTCTCTTGCAGGCCGTGCTGGAGAGCAAGTGGCCCTCGGGCACCCAGGGCGGGCGGCTGCGCTGGGCCAAACTGCGCAACGTGGTGCTGGGCACTGCCCAGTTCCGGCAGCCCCTGCGGCAGCGGCAGCTGGAGAGCGAGGCCCGCGGCGGCGCCTCGCCAGGTGCGTGTGGGGCGGGGGGTAGGAGGGCTGGGGCGGGGGTAGAGGGGCCGGGCCCGTGCAGCGGGGGTAGGGGGCGGGGCCAGCAGCCCATGTTCTCTCTCCCCCCCAGGCTGTGCAGAGACCCAGGATGCCCGTCCCCGTCCCAGCCTCCAGCGCCAGACCACGTGGGCCGGGCACAGCCTGCGCGAGCCCTCGCCCGGCCGCCAGCTGGCGAAGAGCAGCAGCGGCACCTTCCCCCGCAGCGAAACCTCCGCGGTGGAGGCTGGCGTGGCCCAGAGTGAGTTGCATCGCAGCCGGCCGGGGGGGAGGAGACGAAACCTGGGAGCAGGGGTCACCAGGCTTGGGGGATGTGCTGGGGTTAGGAACTGGGAGGGACCCGGCTCTGGCCCCCCCGTAACTCTTTCCCCCACCCCCCAGTGATCAAGGCCCTGGGGGTGCTGGAGCCTGGCAGCGACTCGTTAATCGCCTTCCCCCCAGGCCTGCGCCAGCTCCTGGACGGGCCCGGCACCTCGGAGGACGGGAGCCTATCGGATGTCAGCTTCCAGACGGACGAGAGCGACCGGCCGGCCCTGGACAGCGCGGAGGTGCAGCTGAGCCTGGGGCCGGGCGCCCGGGGCACCAAGCCGAGCCGGCGCGACGAGAACCACAACAGCCTGGGGGGGACGCCGCGCCGGGGGCTGGCCGCTAAGCTGCAACAGCTGCTGTCCCCAGCCAAGCGCCCCTCCCTGCGCCACACTGCCAGCGTGGAGCAATCCAGCGCCCGGCAGGACGCCGGCTCCCTGCGCCGGGCCTCGGAGCAGACAGAGCCCCTGCGGCGCAAGAGCCCTGTGGAGAGCCTGCTGCACCCCCAGGAGCGCCCCGACTCCACTGCCTCGGAGGTAGGGGCTGGGAACCGCCCCCCC